TATCTATATATATATATATATATGTATAATATGTATAGATATGCGATTTCGAGGTTGTTTCGTTTTTCTTTTTTTGTATTGTCGGTTTTTTTTTCTTTCATGCTCTTCCCACCTACTCGTGTGCTTCTCGCTTTTGTGTGTGTGTGTGTGTGGCGGGCGCCACTTTGGCGCACGCGTGCCGCTGTGCGACCCCCAAAGTGACACGCCTTTTTTTTTTTGCGTCCTTCTCCCAACCCCCCCTTTTGCTGCGGCTGACTGCGCGGCGCGGGGGCCGCTGCGTGCGTGCGTGTTTGTTTACATCTGCTCTGCCTCCTCTTCGCGTGTGTTCTGTCGGCGCCGAGGGAAGTTCAAGCACGCGGAAGCCAGCGGGACGTCGCAGCATCCGGCACACACAGCGAGAGAGAGAGAGAGAGAGAAAAATATACATATAAACAAGTCAATATATCGAGCGAGGGGAGAGAGCGGCGGCGGCGGCCAAAGATGGACGTTGCTGCGACGGAGCGGGAGGTGCCACACGGCGGCGAGGACGCGCAGCGCGCGCGCCGTGTGATGTTCGCCGATGAGGCGGAGCCGCACGGCCCGCAGCGGGACACTCGGCCCAGCAACGGCGGGGAAAGCGGCAGGCGGCGGCGGCGGCAGCGGCACCAGCAGGAGCAGCAGCAGCAGGACCAGCAGGAGCAGGAGCAGCAGCAGCAGCAGCAGAAGCAGCCTTCGGGGGCCGTTGCGGATGACCACCCGCCGGCGGAGGAGGCGGAGGCGACGGGGCACGATGCAAACCAGCCGCGGGGCCGTGGGGGCAGAAACAGGCACTGGCAGCGTGGGCGCGGCGGCCCCGCAAAGGTGGCGACGGTGATAGCGGAGGCGCTCGGTCTGGAGGAGGGCTCGGAGGAGAGCCCCAAGCAGCGGCTGGACGACTACGCCCTGCTGCTCTCGGCGAACGAGAACGCCGCGCGGCTGCAGCTGGAGGTGATGCAGCTGAAGGAGCAGGAGGCGATGTACAAGGCGCACCGCGCGCTGCGGGAGCGGCATCTTCAGCGCGACGGGAACCCGGGCGGCGCCCCCGGCCAGCGCGAGGCGACGGCCGATGCGG